TGGCTCTTGTGCCAGTGGTGGTGTATCGGGCATGTCGGGACTGAAATCCACCTCCTCTTCACCATTGACCTCCATCATGAGGATTGCGGTCTCGTCCTCGCACATCCCACATCCATCGCCCTCTCCATCTTCTGACATAGGATTGCCGATGACAACAGTCATCGGTCCAGCCGGGACGGGCAGGTTTCCCTGCTGTGCCAGCGTCTGAGCATCGCTTGGCTGTCCCGGCGTAGGCGGCACGGTGGTTGGCTCAGGCTCGTTGCCGAGCGTAGGCTGCCCGACAATATTCCGCACGGCCGTATGGTTAGGCCGTAATCCCGCCGCCTGGAGACCCCATCCTGGCGGAGGAAGAGCCTGACCACGCATGGAGATGGCCCTTTCAAGGGCTTGGCGCCACCTCCCTCTGGAGTACCACACATGCCGCTGCACGTCCTCAGGGTGCACGCTATCAATAAGAGTGAGGGCCGCCAGCACTAACTCCGAGTCGTCACAGGCATCAGTGTCTTGTAGCATCATGTGGCCAGCTTCGACGCTCTCTTGACTCTCGGGATATGCTACGACCAATACAGCGTGCATCTTCATGAGGGTCTGCAGTAGCGCGTGCGGTCCGTACTCGCCTGGGGCAAGCGAGCCAGGTGGTATAAATGGATTCCCTGGCACGCCTGTCACGAACGCTTGAGACTCCAGCTCCATCAGATCAGCGTAGTTTGGAGGATATACAAGAGTAGGCCTGTTTCCAGGCATAAGGTCGGGTGGAGGTTGAAGGTTGCGATCAACCGCCGAAGGTGAGGCTTGAACAGTGTCATCTTCTTCACTGCTCTCATAGGCCATGATGTTGCCTGGATTACCGAACATCCAGTCAAAGAAGGATAATGGCTGGTTTCCCAGCGTTCCATGTTCCACAGGCGTAAGCTCGATATTGCCGACAACGAACCTGCGGAGGTACTCGAGGTAGCACGCGTACAGTCCGCGGCCGCACGCCTCGAGCTCATCCAAGTTGTCCATGCAACTGACCCAAGTGTAAAATATCTGTTCCACGGCCTCAAAATCTTGGAGGCTCAGATATTCAGCAACTGGTTCACTTGAGCCGAAATGGACTTCGGTCGATCTGCCCTTTCCATGTCCCTTCGCTGGACAATCTTTTACAAGATGATCGGTGCTGTCACACTCATGGCACTTTAGGATCTGGCCGTCTCTACATCGCGGGTTTCCCCGCCTACCTTCGCCGTTGCCTGAGGTATCTCTACGGCCTTTACCACGGCCTTTTCCCCCGAAGAATATCTGATCATTCTGGTCATCTGAGAGCCTGTGGAAGAATGCCGCGATGCCTCGTCCATTTATCCTACGGCGACCCCGTTTGCCTTTACCTTTTCCTTTGAAGCTCCTCCGTATCCTCCTCCTAACACGACGCACTGGTTTTCGTGTGAACCTCCTCCACCTCCGCTTTGCCTGCTGTAATAACCAGAACAGGTGTTCGGCACGCTGATTGTCACTTTCCATATGCATGATATCTGACCAGTCTAAAGGCTCAACACCGTCTGATGATATGGTATCGGTGTCGGTGCCGGAGTCGAAATCGTCGTCTCCCAGGTAGGTGGATACACCGTAGTTAAAGGGGTTTGCTTCACCCCAAAAAGAACGGTGCGGTTGAGGTTCTCTAGGAGGAGGGCTGGTTGCCCAGCTTGGTTGCGGTCGATCCCCTGTTAGTAGGGCAGTAGATTCTCCAGGATCGTCGGCCCATATGCTTGAGGGCCCGTTGCCAGGCTGAGCTTCAGTGGTTAAGGTAGTGTAGACATTTCCACTGCCGGTTCCCCTTCCCCTTCCAAATACTGATCCTATGTTACCAGGAGACCGTTCTGACAGATGGCCTATCGAACGCATCCTCTCCAACACCTCATCATACTGTTGTTGTGTTCGGGGCATTTGGTGGTTGAGTGGCTGCAAGAGTTGCATGGCTCGCTGGTTGCCAACGCCTAGGGCGCGGAATAGGATAGTAGTGAGCAGTTGGAAGTTGGGAAGGTCAAACCCCACCGACTGTGCCTCAAAACGGGCCATCTCGAACCGAGTGAGGGTGACATCGACTCGTTCCCCGTGAGGCACATGAAAGTCGATGAGCTGCGTGCCTGCAGTGAGCTGGCGCTCATCTTCCAGGCGTTCGAACTTCATGCTTGGGAGGAACATAATGTAGGTTACTGGGTCGGTGTGGACACCATCGGTGTCCGCACCGTAGTTTATAATGTCAGGTGGTACCCTCATGGCGAGTGTCCTCGCTAGGCCGCCCAGGCCGCGTTGGATGGCGGCTGCTTGGGCCTGTGGCGTCATGCGTCCGCTTGTGACGTTGAGCCACGCGCTGACCTCATAAACGTACTCGCGGAAAGGTACGTTGCCGTGAGGGTCCCAGTATGGGCCATGTGTTTGCCCATCGGCGCTGTTGTCTCCTCGGCGCATGTGTCCGATTGTTGCCCCCAGCGCAAACCATATGATGGCGAAGATAACCAGCCCAAGGCTGTGAAGATATGGGTGGTTATCAGGCGCGTTGCCGCGCTGGGGTAGCGCCTTGTCAAGTCTTCGAGGCGCTTTATCTTGCGGGTCTCCCCGCCTCTGCTTCAAGTACTGCGCTTTTGGCTCGTTGCCGAGCGGTTGGTAGTAGCGCAGTGATGAAGCGAATATGGTACCAATGTTGCTGTCTAGACGTCGTGCCTCTCGTGTTGCTTCTTGCTCTTGAATTGATCATCGTAAATGTAGTTGGAGTGGTGGCGCAGGGTGGTAGTTGGTCACGAAGATCGTGCCGGATAGCGTGAGGATAAGAAGAGCAAGAGCTGACCACACGAGAGTGCGGCCAGCTCCGCTACCAAATCTGAAGTGACTATGGTAAGTCAAATAACACCCGATTCCATGGGAAGCGGATGGCAAATAGCGTCCGGTATCGTACTGAGGTGGTTCAGTAAGAAGAATGGACGGATAAGATATGATAAGATCGATGTAATGATCTTTCCAGCACATAGCGAACACAAGCAGTGTCCGGGCAAATAGGGCGCGCGTGCCTTGAGCCAAAGGCAACGGCGCGCGAGCTATACTCCCGATCCTATATGACATCTCCCAAAGAGCTACCCTTAAAGTTCCTCCTCCTCCTCCTCCTGCTCCTCCTCCTCCTCGCGTTCCTGCTCCTACTCCTCCTCATCCATCTCCTCCTCCTCCTCCTCCTCCTGCTCCTCCTCCTCCTCCTCGTTATCCTCCTCCTCCTCCTCGGATTCCGCCTCGTCGTCCTCCACGTCGTCGTCCTCCTGATCCTTCTCCTCCTCGTCCCTCGTCTTCAACGTCCTCCGAGTCCTTATATACTCCTCGTCCTCCCTGTCCTCCTCTTCTTCCTCGTCCTCGTCCTCCTCTTCCTACGTTTCCTCCTCGGCCTCGTCCCCCTCTTCCTCTTCCTCTAGCCTCCTCCTCGTCCTCCTCCTCCTTCTCGTTCCCCTCCGCGTCCTCCTCCTCCTCCTCGTCCTCCTCCTCCTCCTCGTCTCTCTGGTGCTCTTTCTCCTCCTCCTCCTCCTCCTCCTCCTCCTCCTCCTCCTCCTCATCCTCCTCCCCGACCTCCAACTCGTCTTCCTCCTTTATCTCCTCCTCCTCTTCCTCCTCCCCCTCCTCCTCCTCCTCCTCATCATCATCCTCGTCCTCCTTCTCGTCCTCCTTCTCGTCCTCCTCCTCGTCCTCCTCCTCCTCCTCCTCATCATCATCCTCGTCGCCCTCGTCGTCCTCCGCCCCCTCCTTGTTCTCGTCCTTCTCGTCCTCCTCGTCCTCCTCGTCCTCGTCCTCGTCCTCCTCCTCCTCCTCCTCCTCCTCCTCCTCGACCGCCCCCGAGGGAGCCACGCCCGGACCCCTCAAAGACACACCGCGTCGGAGACCTGAGCCCGTCGTGTCGCCGCCTCGCACTGCGCCCGCCTCCACGCCCACGAGGCTCGCCGCCACGTCCCCCCCCCCCCCCCGCGGCGCGCACAGGGGGGCGGGGGGGAGGGGGGCCTTCTTAGAGGGAGGCTGCTCCAAGAAGGGAGGCTTCTTAGAGGGAGGCTGCTCCAAGAAGGGAGGCTGCTCCAAGAAGGGAGGGGGGGTTCTTAGAGGGGGGCTTCTTAGGCGGGAGGGGGGCCTCCTCAGAGGCAGGCCGCTCCTCGGAGGGCGGCCAGCGCGCCCCAAGGAGCCTTCCCAGAAGCAGCCTCCTTCCCCAGGAAGCCTCCCAAGAAGCCCTTCCCCCCCTCCCAAGCAGCCTCCTTCCGAGAAGCCTTCCAAGAAGCAGCCTCCTTCCCAGGAGCAGGCGCCTTCCGAAAAGCAGGTCCTTCCAAGGAGCAGCCTGCTTCCAAGAAGCCTTCCCTCCTCCCCTCACCCGGTACCCCCCCGCGCGCGCCGCCAATCCCCTCCTCCCGAGGCGGGCGGCCAAGGAACACGTCTCGGGCTTCAACTTCGCGTGACAGTCCGGCTCCGCAGTCTGCACCGCTGAGTTGGCATTGCGCAGTGGGGGCGGGGAACGATCAAGGGCTCTGGGTGCCATGCCACTGGACACTCTCACAGTCCTACCATTGACCTACACAGTATAGAAAAAATGCAACATGCTCGAACATGGCCGAAACATGTTTCTGCATCTGTCACGTCTGCTTTCAACCCATTCCCTCGCCATCGCTCGGACGTCCATTCCTCGTGTATTGTTCGATTTCGTGCGTGTTTTTTGTCGCCAAATGATCAAGGATGGTCCTCGATGGCCGTCGCCGAGAAAAAGATATGCACACGTCCGAGCGATGCCCAGGTTCCTGGACACCTGGAACATGATTACCAGCCTGGAACATATCCCTATCCCAATGCTGGGCACCTCCTCATCACGATGCCAATATTAGGGATTCCCTTACCTTATTTTTTGAGGGCGAATCCCTAAGATTGTCATCGCCTTTTGGCGTGCCAATCTTAGGGATAGGGATACGTTCGAGGCTGGGAACATGATGGGCAACACGCCTCCCCTCCATGGACCCTCTTCCGCAGAGCGAGGGGCGCGGGGTGCAGGCAGGTGCACCTCTTGCGCCCGCGGCGCGCGGCGACGGCGCGGCCCCCGGGACGGCCGCGAGCCCCGCCGCGCTCAGCGGTCGTCCAGGCCGGTGTAGCCCAGCTCCTCGGGGTCTGCCGGAGGCGGCTCCGCGGCCAGAAACGGAGCGGAGGGGCAACGCCACATTGGGGGGGGGACCTTACCAGCCTCGAAGTTATCCCTATCCCTAAGATTGACACGCCAAAAGGCGATGACAATCTCAAGGATGCGCCCTCGAAAAATAAGGGAATCCCAAAGATTGGCACCGTGATGAGGAGATGCCCAGCATAGGGATAGGGATATGTTCCAGGCCGGTAAGAACCCACGCTTCTGGGGTTCGGGCGGCTCTCCAGACGCATCGAGGGTTCCCAACAAAATGTGAGGCCCTCGGACCATTTCTCGGGGGCCTCGGCGGCTCTCTCCGGCCTCCGGGCGCCCTCCCGCGGCCGCGCCCCGCCGAGGGCGTCCCGTGAGGTGCCGTGCCCGAGCGGCCGCCGGAGGGCGGGCCTTCTCGGCGGCATGTCGCACCACAGGCGGATTGTGAACGAAAATGAAAAAGACAGTCAACAAGAATGCCAAAATGGCTGAAAACCATTGTCCGAAAACCGTCCCCGGACGATTTCGAATATTCCTCCTGTAGAGGGACAGGCCCTTTGTGGGCCCCGGAAACGGCATGGCCGTTTTCTTCACCGTTTCCAAACAATGTCCCTTGAAAATGGAAAAAGTAAAAAATTATCCCGGCAAAGCAACCTAACAGCGATGTGTAGAAGCATATCTGAAAGCATTCCCCTTAAGATTCAGATGAAAATCCAGTTGTAGAATTCTGCTGTTCTCGCAGTCGTAGTCGCATTCGCGATGACAGTCGCAGCGGCAACGGCAGTCGCAGTCACAGCCTCAGCCTCAGCCTGCCTCAGCCTCAGCCTCAGCCTCAGCCTCAGCCTCAGCCTGCCTCAGCCTCAGCCTCAGCCTGCTTCAGCCTCAGCCTCAGTCTGCCTTCAGCCTCGGCCTCAGCCTCAGCCTGCCTCAGCCTCAGCCTGCAGCCTCAGCCTCAGCCTGCCTCAGCATCAGCCTGCTTCAGCCTCAGCCTCAGCCTGCCTCAGCCTCAGCCTCAGTCTGCTTCAGCCTCAGCCTCAGTCTGCCTTCAGCCTCGGCCTCAGCCTCAGCCTGCCTCAGCCTCAGCCTGCCTCGGCCGCAGCATCAGCCTGCCTCAGCATTCAAAATGTGGCCCAGGAATGGAGTTCTGGGAACTAGAAAAACACGAAGTGGCCTACAGTTGGCTCCGGGCATTCAAAATCATGCCCAGGAATGGAGTTCTGGGAACTTGAAGAGCACGAAGTGGCCTACAGTTGGCTCCGGGCATCCAAAATGTGGCCCGGGAATGGAGTTCTGGGAAATCGAAGAGCACGAAGTGGCCTACAGTTGGCTCCGGGCATCCAAAATGTGGCCCGGGAATGGAGTTCTGGGAAGTCGAAGAGCACGAAGTGGCCTACAGTTGGCTCCCGGCATCCAAAATGTGGCCCGGGAATGGAGTTCTGGGAGCACCAAGAGCGATTTTGCGAGGATGTCCCAAGCGATTTCGGCGGCAGCCGCCCGGGTCCCGCCCCGACCCCCCTGTGGAGTCATCTGCTGCTCTCTTTTGAGACCACTAGAAACCTATCAGCAAAAGCTGTTAGGTAAATAAACGGCGACCGGAAACGCCAGCAAAAACGGCTCCAGGATTGGAGCCGGAGCCGGAACCAACAAAAAAAACGGCGACGGCACCGGTAAAACAACGGCGTCGGAACCGGCAAAACAACGGCAAAACGGAACCGGTAAAAAAAAGGCCCTGTCGTTTTCAGGGCCCACCAAGGCCATGTCTCCCTACAGGCGGATTGTGAACGAAAAGTGATATAACATGCCAAAATGGTTAGAAACCATTTTCCGAAAACCGTCCCCTAACTATTCTTGGACTATGCTCGAATAATCCTCCTGTGGACAGGCCCTTTGCGGGCCCCAGAAACGACAAGGCCGTTTTTTCACCGTTTCCAAACAATGTCCCTTGAAAATGGAAACGGCAAAACACGGCGACCGGAAACGGCAACAAAAACGGCTCCAAAATTGGAACCGGAGCCGGAACCGGTCGAAAACGGCGACGGCACCGGTAAAAAAACGGCGTCGGAACCGGCAAAACGGAACGGGTAGAAAAACGGCCCTGTCGTTTTCAGGGCCCACCAAGGCCATGTCCCCCTACAGGCGGATTGTGAACGAAAAATAATATAACAAAAACGACAACATGAATGCCAAAATGAATAGAAACCATTTTCCGAAAATCGTTCCCTGACTATTTTTGGGCCATGCTCGAATATTCCTCCTGTAGAGGGACAGGCCCGACTTCACTCCTGCCTCAGTGGAGCGCCTCCTGACGTCTCCGACGCCCCGCTGCCGTCTTCGGAGGCCTGCCCCCGCTCGCTGCCCAGCTCGGCGCGACGCCGACCCCGAGATCCGACGTCCTATGGTGCTGCAGTGCGGGGTCCGGGGAAGTCTCGACCCCTTTTGCAAGAACGTCCAGCAGACACGCAGGACCTCTGGGGCTTCTCAGAAGACCCTCTGAGGAGGCCTGCCCCTTCTCACTTCCCCCCCGCGCGCCGCCGAAACTCACCACGGGGAAAAACAGAACACCCAACCAAGGGTACCCTCCCCAGGGTGCACAAGAACGTCGAGTGTGTATATAGAGTTCAGCTCCTTAGCTTAATGGGCCCTGGAAACGACAGGGCTGTTTTTTTGCCGGTTCCGTTTTGCCGTTTTTTGTTTGCTGGTTCCAACGCCGTTGTTTTACCCGTTCCGTCGCCGTTTTTTGACCAATTCCGGCTCCGCTTCCAATCCTGGAGCCGTTTTTGTTGCCGTTTCCGGTCGCCGTTTTTTGCCGCTTCCATTTTCAAGGGACATTGTTTGGAAACGGTGAAAAAACGGCCTTGTCGTTTCTGGGGCCCGCAAAGGTCTGGACCCCTTTTCCAAAAGACCGTTTTTTCCATCCTGACTCGTTACTTGACATCGCTCCCAAAATTGCGGGCGCGACCCCGCGCGACAAGCAGTTCCCACCGGAATCCTCTTCGCCAGCAGCGGACCGCGCCGCGCACGGCCGCAAAAGAAAACGCCCGAGGAGCACAACCTCACCCAAAAACGGTCCGGAGGCCGAAAACGCGCGGAGTGGAAAAATGGTCCCAGGGCCAAGCGAGGATCCCCAGAGGCTAAAAGAGCCGAGATGCAGCAGCCTTGCTGTCTTGATGTGTTTTCTCGTCAGGACCTCCGACCAGCGGGAGCGGTGCACCCCGCCGAGCACACCCTGTGGGGCGTTTGCTGTGGCAGGGAGGGCTACAAGCTCGGGTCGGACGACAGCCGATCATCCTCAGAACGCATGCTGGCACCGCTGAAGCCCGTTCTTGAAATCCGAGGGGCCAGTCCTCCTGGGGCCTTTCGACCGCCAATGGGCCAGGCCCCCTCTGTTCTGAAGGGCAATCTCCGACAGCGCCTTCCAACTCCGTCTGGCGGCGGCTTCGCCCGCGGCCTCGCGCGCCCGCGGCGCGCTCTGCGCCGGCTGGCAGGCATTCGCAACGCGGCGCCAGGAACGTGTCCTTCTCCATCGAAGCCCTTCAAAACGACGCAGGTCGGCCGAGCTGAACAGGGTAAACACGCACAGAGAATCATCGAGAAAGGGGAGGATCAGCTTGCGCGGCAAATTTCCCGGCGCCTCCAGGCGCCAGTGTATCGAGGAATGCGCATGGCGGCAGGGCCAGAACCAGCTGCATGCACAAGTTTCGCCGCACTCTCACCCTACTGGATGTCATCCGATCACAGAGCGGGGGGTAACTTTGCAAACCCGACGGGGACTGGCCGAGAACCTGGGCTCTCTGGGGCTTCCGCCGTGGGCCGTCGTCGGGCTCCGCCTGCAGCAGATGTCGTAATGCCCCGTTCCCCCCCCCTCCCCCCCCCTCGTCGGGATCCCAACGCGTGCTGGGCCTGGCGGTGGCAGCCTGGAAGCCGTGCCGTTTGGGGCCAGCTCGCTGGGGGCGCGGCTAGAAACGTAAGCAGCGCCCGCAACATCCCGCCGCCCACGTGAAACGCGCAGCCTTCTTCGAACTCCGCCGTCGGGGAGGCGCCCGGCGCCGAACAGTCCGAGGCACGGGGCAATTACCCGAAAATTATCGGAGGAGATAGGGCGGGGTCGGCATGAGGTGTGGATGTTGGTGCTGAGCGATCTATATATATATATATATATATATATATGTGTGTGTAGGGAAGTCTGATGTATGGTGCATGCTGCAAGGAGGTAGGAAGTGCAACCGACCGTGGGCGTGGCTCGCCAATATATTCAATCGGCTGGATGGCTCGACCGATTGCGAGGTCGGCTCGGACATCGTGTGATCGATTGCGATCGCGACCATCGGCATCGCTCGCAGCCAGGCGCTGTCGAAGGTGCAGACGCTCGAGGCGACGCACTCCTTCACGGTCGACGCAATGGAAGAGACGGAGGCGCATGCGGAGCAGGCGATCGCAACGGCGGAGAAAACCAGCGATGTCATGGACGAGCAGGCCGCGCGGGAGATGGAGCATGCGATGATGGAGCTGATGGTGTCGGCGAGGGAGGCGGCCGTCGACGAGCTGCGGGCGGAGGAGGCGGCGCTGCTGCCGTGGGATAAGGCAGCGCGGTCGAATGTGGAATCCGTGCCGCGGCAGTGGGACGCGGCCCTGACGCAGGCAGGCGCGACGACGACAAGGGCCTGAGCGCGTGCTAAGCACGAGCTCGCCGACGACAGGCATGCGCGGCGACGGCGACGGCGACGACGACGATGAAGGCTCACCGCGACGTGCAGGGCCGCGGGCGCGACATGGAGCACGCGCGCGAGCTGAAGCAGCGGCTCTTCGAAGAGGTGGCGGAGGAGAGGCAAGCCAGGCACCTGACGGAGGGGCGCACGATAGCGCTGTGCCGCCCGCGCAAGCTGGAGCCGCCGTGGATGCAGGTCATCGTCCCTGCTCATCCTGCACGCGAGCAGTGCCCGCATTCCAATATATATATATATATATATATATATATATATATATATATATAT